TAATCTGTATTTATTGTGGTTTTATTGTAAACTGCCCAGAGTCACTCTTTGAGTGAGATGGATGGTGACTAAATTTGAAAAATAAATAAATAAATAAGCGATGCAATAGTTTCAACCAGCACAGTGCTTTACACATCTGTACAACACAGATCATTCTGCCTGATATGCATCATACCAATGATCTGTGATGGCCTGACATGTGCTTAATGATACTTGGAGATGCACGCTGCTGCTCGCTCTTCTTTAGCCAATCTTCACAAAATGCAAGATAGTAGAATTCTAGACGGTCTCTCTTCTAGCTAAATAATCACATTTTATTGCTTCCCCCCCATTTCATTCATCAATATGTAACAGATAAATAGCAATTAACATATTAAGAAAACCTAAGTAGCATATACTTTAGTCTATAGTCCTGGATCTCCTAAAGCTGTTGATATATAAGCTTCTTATATTGATCTTTCTAGTCTAGAAAGTAAACACTGTAAGCTTTGAAAACTGTTTGACAGTGTTTTGGAATGTGGGAGCAGAAGTACAGTACCTTCTTAAAACACTGCTGTCATTTTTCATTTTTCTGTGTGAATCTCAAAAGAATGTGGCTGTTTTAACGACTGACTAATTAAAGCAGCCATATCTTCACTGCAGTTCATTAAAGTAACCATATTCTTTTTCAGGCTTGCATGGAAAAGCTGCTCTTAAGCGAATTACATATTACATTCCAAAACACCGCTTCCAAATCATTTTCAAATCATGCACAGCCATAATATTTAGAACCATAAGAATGAGTAACCTGTTTTAGATATATGTATGACTTGTTCACTGTTTTTCAAGTGAGTGTGCAATTTGGCACTCAGTTCTTATAGCAGAATGTTAGCTTCCTGATTTCAGCTATATGATATACAGATATCTTGAGGACACAAAAAACTGAATCCTGTTCTTAATTAGGATTACAATTTATGCTGTGCTGTCTTATAATTTCTAGGTATAAGAAGACTCAAGAAACTCTGACTCAAGCAGGGCAAAAGGCCACAGCTGCTATCAGCAATGTTGGAACAGTTATCAGCAAGAAGTTTGGAGATATGAGGTACACAGTATGGATTTAATTGACAGGATGAAACTTAGTTCCTCCTCCTTATTCTTCAATTGACTAGCACTGTAAAATTGAATCATGGTTAAATTAGCTTTCATTTTTCCTGTTTTATTGTATAGAAAATTGCTACCCTATTAAAGATACATTTCTGATTTAAATCCTGGAAAATTGACAATGGAACCAAAGAGCTTACATGTTGAAATCCAGTTTGCTAAATCTTACAGGTAAATTTATAGTCAGGCCACAAAAACTGTATTAGCTTAATTCTTTTCATGGATGGAATCTTAAAGACAAGTATTCTGAAGAATAACTAACTTACCTCCAAACTATTCTTAGAAATGCCAAGTACTGTGATGACTGCCCAAATTCCCAAGCAATTTAGAATGTTAGAACTTGTAAAACTGTCCAGGGCCTTCAGTACCTCCATTCATCATTTTCAGTGGAATGCTACATGGTGAATCTTCTCAGAGTCAAAGCTGTCTTTTATAGAAAATCAGATTTCATCATTGGTCATTTCAAGATAGAGCCAACTGATAAATAGCGGGGTTGTCTGTTCCAGGTTTATAAGCCTGCTAGGCAACTAGCTTTAATTTTGTATTTGCTTTGCTACTTATTGCCAAGGTTTTAACAGTTTGGTAGGATTGGAGTGAACGGCATTGGAGATAGGTACAAGATGAAAGGATTAACAACCTTTTTCAAAGAAATACTTTCCAATCTTCAAAACAATAACTGGCAGTAAAGCAAGATGACCTTGGCTTGACCTATAGGTTGCAAGTTGCCTTCCACCAAATTAAGTGGAAAATCCTATGCTGACTTTAAAAGCTGAAGCTCAATGATAGAGCAATTTATACTGTTGGATCTGAGACTTCTCTAATTCAATACTGGGGGTTGGCATTACTTATTTTCTCATCTCCAGCTCAAAGGAAGTGGGACTTGGGTTGCTTTTGCCCATACTAACTGTTGATTTTGTCTTAGCCATGTATTTTTCTTTCTCTTGGAAAATAATTCTTTGGGTAAGGACAATTTACTGTGCACCTCTCTGATATAATTCTGACTACTAATAGTTATGTTTTACCATGGTTATTTACCATTTGGTAAATAATGTGGCACCAGATAATTATCTCTACCTTGTTCTTAAAGAGTAAGAATGAAGATCTCATGTTAATAGATAAATAAAAGCAAGCTTTGAAAAAGTAAAGATAAATATTCTATGTCACATTAAATACTGTAGTGTGATATAAATATCCTTATATTAATGGAAAAAGTAGATAATTTTTATAGCACCAGGTTCAGGAAATAATTACGTGCCATCAGGTCAGTGTTAACTCTTAGTGACCACATAGATTGATTCTCTCCATGTTTATATCATCAAGGACCAGTTGTTGATTTTATTTAAATCAGCAGGATTTTTTTCTCTTTGGCTAGTTGACATAATTTATGCCACTGAATTACACACACCAAATGTGCAGTCCAGCAAGTGAGCTCTGCCATTGAATACTTTTAGTTCCCCCAATAGAGTTGGCTTGGAAATATCTTCCAAGTCCTGCTGAATTCATGTTGCAAGGAGAGCCACACTTGGTTGATTGATTAACTAATTAATGGCTAAGATTTCTGCGCTGCTCCATTCCAAATTGGCTCTGAGAAACAAACAAATCTTGGTGATTCTAACCTACCCCATGCTTTTAATTTTACCTAATTTTATCCATTCTTAACCGAAAGTAACTGACCCACCTATATTTTATGTTGCATTTGTTGCATTGATTTGATGCATACATACAATTTTTAAAGCAATATTACTGATTTAAGGGATGAACATGCATTCTGATCTAACACATTCTTCCTTTGATATTTAGTTTCCAAAATTGACGATGATGATGATGATGATGATGATGATACATGGGCTATTACATTTCTGCTCTCTAAAATAACTATGTTCCAGGGTATTAAATAGTTCTGAGCATAGCAGACATGGATTATTTGAAATCTTACAGTTTAACAAGTTTTCAAAATTATGTTAACAAGTTTTCAAAACTGTTTATGTTCTTATTAGAACCGTATTTGAGATTAAAAGTATTGATGGTTATAGGGCTGTACAAAACATTCGAAAGGGGAGCTACACAGAGGGCTTTCCACAAATTAGGCATCACTTTTCAAAGTCTTAAAGCATCTGTGTCTTTTGGAACATTGAACCTGGCTAGGACGGATGGAAGGTTATTTACTTACTTATTTAGCACTTCAGTAAAGAGCGGTGCTTTGCATGTGCTAACATACTTTATGAAGCACTCTTTTCACATGCTTTACACAGCCCTATTAGATATGACAGCTTACCACATGCTTAGTGTGCAGCTATACCAATCAACTTTTTATTACTGCACCAGCAAACAGGACATGTGATATACATTTACATTATATAGGTTCTGGTCATGAAAAATATTCACACCAGTGAGAAAACTCCACTGAAAGCATGGCTGATATGAAATGAAACTGAAGTACTTTTCTCCTTTAAAGCACTTCTCAACTTTAGTTGTAGAGCTGCTTTTTCAAGCAGGCAATCAAGATAGTTATAACTGTACTGATCTAGTCCTAGAGCCTCCAGTAAATATCTTTTCCAGACATTCTTGAGGGCCAATTTTCTTTTTTGCTGCACTGAATATTGCCAAAGATGGTACAAGTTTACAAATAGATGGTGCACACTGAGCAGTTTAATGAAAAATCAGGTAAAGTTATGTAAATATTGTTTAATCCCTTTTGACACTGAGTGTTCTGTGTTGGGTTTTGAAAAAAGAATTTCAGTAGCTATATACCCATGCTTAATTCTTCCTAATTTTTCCTCACGCTGCTGATCCAGGTCACATTCTCTTGGGTAAGGTGACTATATGTTGCTACTATTTCTTGTTCTCTCTTTCTCTCTCTTTCTTATTTTCCTCACGCTGCTGATCCAGGTCACATTCTCTTGGGTAAGGTGACTATATGTTGTTTCCTCACGCTGCTGATCCAGGTCACATTCTCTTGGGTAAGGTGACTATATGTTGCTCTCTCTTATTTGTAAGCTACTCAGAGTCATTGTGGACTCAGGCAGCCTTGAAATTTTATGAAGAATATATACTCGTGGATAAGCTGAGAATGTTAGGTGCCAAATTAGACCCCCAAAATTGGGTTCATCTTATCTGCAGATGGACTTATCCACGAGTATATATAGTAATACTTTTTTAAAGTACCTATATTTTCCATATATACTCGTGAATAAGCCCATCTGCGGATAAGCAGACCCTTGAATTTTTAACCAAAATACCATGAAAAATGCAAATCGGCTTATCCGTGGATGGGCTTAACCACAAGTATATAGGGTAAATACATACTGTAAATATTTGGCATAGTTTCTTACTATGACAATATTTTCCCCCTTTATGGTTGAAAAATTAAGAAGTTGTTGCTTTAACTAAAACATCTTTGAATGTATAGCTTGATTAAACAGTATAGAGATTGCTAAGGATTGAAAAAATCTGCACACATAATTGAGGATGATGCTAATACGATAATTAGGAAATTTAAAAATAGATCTTCCAACTATAGCTAGCAGTGTCACAGTAAATGTGCATGTATTGGTCTAAGCATAAATGTCCATAATGCTCCCAGTTATAGCCTAGCATTTTCCAGCTGTTTGAAAACTTCTTGTTTCTTTCTAAAAAACTGAAAATAGTTGGGTCAGCTCTAAATCTGTCCTGTTTCCCATTTTTTAGAATATCCATGGGCAGGGAATGACCCTGGTCAGATTGTATTGATTTGTGAATATGGAAGTATTGGTGGAATGTGAGGATGAAGTTTTCTGTCTTCTGTCTGCTCCTTATTGTTACAGGGCTAAATTCTGAACCAGGGCTGATAGCTTGAACTACCACAAATGTAATGGTAGAAGGAAAGTGCCTGATTGTCAGAAAAAGTGCCTAGTGTAGTTTCTAACAGCTCCCCTCAATTTCCTTACAAATTAATGCAGAATGAAACTGCCTGATTAAGCTGAATCACAGGGAGCTCCTCATCTACTCATGCAAAACTGAATAAAAACTTGAAATATTATGAACCTTATAATGTGTCTTCACAGCAGTGATTTTCATGTGTGAGAAATTATGTTGAGTGAAAAATGGACCCAATGGGCTTCAAGAACCCTTCAATTATTTTTATCTGTATCAACAAACTATATTATAATAGACTACCTTCATCTCTACACATCTTTCTGGGTTGAGATATAAATAATCCAATTTAAGATTATGTACGTGCATGTGTCTTTAAGTTTTGCTTTTTTATTGATTTTAATAAAATCCTTTAATTCTCTGTGTTCTTTTTTTTTTTTTTTTCTTGCCTTTGGGTCAGTTTTTGACTCCTGGCGACTGCCTGGACTAGTCCCTGCAGTTTTCTTGGCAAGGTTTTTCGGAAATGGTTTGCCACTGCCTCCATACTAAGGCTGAGAGTGACTGGCCCAAGGTCACCTAGCTGGCTTTCATGCCTAAGGCAAGACTAGAACTTATGGCCTCCTGGTTCTAGCCTGACACCTTAACCACTACACCAAACTGACAGTGCTTCATTTAAAAACATAAAAAAGAGGTTAGACACAGAAGATTTCCTCCTCCTCCCACTTGATAAAAAACTGAATAAATAAAGACCCAGGTAGCATTCAAAATACAGTCCTTTTAGAGAAGAATAGCATGACTCTAAAAGGCAACTCTTAACCTAAAGGACTGTTCATTTTGTCTTAATAGTAATGCATTGTAAGACTTAACCGAGTACTTAGGGAATAATTTCCTTTTTAGGGAATAATTTCCTTGTTTAGAACAGTTGTCTTGCAGTCAACCTCAGTTGATTTGAAGCTACTGTAGAACAATCAGTATGCATAGTTAGAATTGTCATCTCAGATCCTCTACTTGAGAATATTTATAAAGCCTTTGCTATCTTTTTATGTTGTCCATAACTATTATAGCAGGAATTATGGCCTTGCACTGCAGTCCACTTCTTTAATTTTTCTCTCTTCTTGAAAGCTGCAGTGCAGTGATGATTTCTTGTTACAGGCCCTAAGTCTGAATGAGCTGTATAAACTCTTCTTTCCCTGGAAGTATCATTCCCCTCCTTCCTGCTGTTCCTGTTGGCAGTAACTAAACTTCTCATGATAGGGACAATGTAAGATGAATCACTTAAAATGTCATATTAACCACATGTAGGTATTATCTTTCAATTAAAACTGAATGAAGTAGATTTAAAGTGTCACCAGACAAGATCTTCCACGATGTTCTGTGTTAGTGAAATTCCAAAGTAACTTTTCATCAGTGAGCATGCTCTTAGAATTTAAATTAGTCTACTGCTAGATTTCATTAATGTGAAATTAGTGAAGCTGCAAACTTTTAATAGCTGTGTATTTTCTATTCTCTTTCATGCTTTTGCAAACCAGCTATTCTATCCGCCATTCCATGAGTATGCCTGCTATGAGGTAACTACTGTTATATATGTAATGGTATTATAATTATAAAAATATTTGATCCTGCAACTTTTATATTGAATATTAGAAACATTTCATACAATTATATTTTCCTTTTTTTCTGATACATTTTTGATTAAAGAAAACTTTGTGTCAGGCTTGGAGTCACTAAAAGAAACCCTCATGTCTGACTGAGGTTGAAACTTACTGGCAAAAGAATATTGTACTGTAGAGCAATAATTGATGATGGACAATGGAAAACATTCCTTATTTGAGCAGTGCTTTTAAACAAAAATGTTTGAAAACATTGTTTTGCTTGTATCTGGTGTCTATTATACTTAGGGAAAATAGGAAGCATTCTTGAGGGGAAGGGCAACAACTGAGTTTTCCTATCTTATTTTCTATTCTCAAGGTTTCCAAGGCCAAAGTCCCAATCAGATCATTTTAATTCAGAAGCAGACTTGATTCTAATTCCTGGCTAAAGAGTGAAATTCTGAGTTTCAGCTACTAACATTGCTTACACATCACAATATTTTTATGTCAACAATCTGATTCTCCTATAACAATGCCAGAAGTGAATGCTCTAACAGAATTTGAATCCATTTTAAATGGTTTCTGTTATTCTGTGCATTCAGTTAAAGCTTAAGAACTTCTGCTTTCTGCTTGGCATCAGCCTTCCAACTTAGGTGTTTCTTCCTATGCAAAGAATTGTAATACAGTATCCTCTGAACATCATTATTACTCAGATGCAGAGTTTTAATCTCAGCTACCCAAATTTCCACAAATTTGTATCAAGTATCTTTCTTGTTCCTGAAGAAAGATGCCTGGGAGAATGTGGCCATATAGAATTGGTATGGTGATGTAGTGGGCTATAGGGATGACCAACTATTTCAGAATAATTCATATTATCCATGTGGTCATACTGCACATTTTCTCTAAATGTGCAACTTTAAAACTTAAACAGTTCTTTGACAAAACTAAACATGAAGTTGCTCACTGAGCTTGGCCTATATAGTTGTGCTTCTATTTCATCTTTAATAAAAAGCCACCGCAGGTGCTCCAAGCCAGTGGGATTTATGAGTTGGACAAAGACAAGGGGGGCCCGATTCAAGTCCACCCTCAGCTGTGGAAGTTCACTGAGTGATGTTGGTCCAGGTACTATCTCAGCCCAATCTTCCTCACAGGTTGTTATGTAGGCAAAAATTGGAGCTCCTGGATGAGAGGCAGAAATTTTAAATAAATATCAACTACTTGTTAACTGTTAACACAAAGAAAGGGGCACAGTTCTTGTTCTTGGTAGGGAAATGTCAGGTTCAGCCCAAGAACAACAGCAAGACAGTACAGTTTAGCTCCTTTATTAGCTTACACCTAATAGACAGAATCTCGCCAGACTAAATCTAC